AAAATAATAATCCATCAACTTAAAAAAGAAATTGTATAAGCTTATTGATTGTATTTACTCTGAATGGAAGCTTAATTTTATCAAATGTCTTTTCAGCATGGAAAATCATTATATTTCTGTTTAGATCATGACCAATGTGGTTCAATATAATCAAACCTTCTAAAAGTAACTATTATTTATGATTATTAATTATTTAGGAGTAGGTGTTGGCATCACTGCTTGTGACCCATGGCATTTTTTTTCTTCTCAACTATCTGTGTCAGATTTTGCTAACAGCTTGTATTCTCTCTTTAAAACTATAATGGAAATTTGCAATCATTATTTTTTCTATGCTCAACATCAATTTAAATAGTATTATAGTTTTCTATTTTCTAACAGTTTGGTAAAACTGCCCTGTAAAATTATCCTGGTACCTTTTCATGCTATCACCTTAACATCTTACTCTATTTCTTCTGTGAAAATCATTCTAGTTTTATTATACAAATTTCTGTGGACTCTTTTAGCAAATCACTTTTCCTATGAAAATGTTCATTTTTATTATGTTCAGTTGCTACACACACACAAAACAACTTCCAGGAAAATGGATTCTTCATGAAGCCTCGTTCCCACTAGTTTTCTGAACCACACTGGAGTCAGATGGCTTTGTTGTCACTTATTTTACCCCTGCACTAAATGTCATAAGCAAGAACATTACTTTTTGTCTTTGAGGGAAAACACTACAGGACCCCAAAATATGCCACTTTGGCGTGTGGATTATTTTGAACTGAAGGTGATCAAAGCCCGACAGACTCAGGAAAAGTTGTTTACCTTCCCCTTCACTACCTAAAATAATTTTGTTAGAGGACCTGTACCAGAATCAAGCTAACACCACAGGTAACTTTTTACCAGAAAGACTTATCTGCACAGAATGACAAATATTTTTTTCTCAAACATTTGCTCATTTCATCTTCCTGTCAGTTTTCTTCCTCCCCTTTGAACCCCCAGACTCCACCTCCTCTTCTTAGCTCTGAATGGCATATAAGCCGAAAATGCCTGTCTTTGGGTCTCATGTCTTTGGGGCTTCCATACATACAAAATCTGTTTTGTTGTTGTTGTTGTTGTTGTTGTTGTTAATTTACCTTATGTTGATTTAATTATTAGACCAGCCACAGAACCAAAAAGAGAAGAAGGGAAAAATTTCCCTCCCCTACAGTTTTGACACCTGGAATGGGGTTTTCAACTGCCTGGACATTGCTTGCTCTGTGGTCGCTATGGCTGAAAGATCCTGGGACCCCTAATAGGAGTTGGTAGAAAGAAAGGATTCTTACCATATCAGCCTCCCAGATCTCTGCCTGCAGGGTCTGATGGAAGCAAGAGTGGTGAGAGTCATTATCTTCTTCTAAATTCACATTAGCAGGAGAAAATATTTGCATGAACTAGTTTCTTGGGTATAGCAACTCTGCTATAGATTTGTTTTGAGTACCATTGTTTTCTATTGATTTTTCCCCCCAGAGATAGTCATTGTTTCCCTTTGTCTCTGTTTGCTGTGTCATTTGTCGTAAGGAGGAAAAACCATACAGTAGAACACAGGCATATGCCCTATAAGCCTCATAGACTGGTGAGTTTACAGTTCTCATCAAACACTGTCACTTTAGACAAACGTTGCTATTAAAACTTAAATATATAAAAACTGAATGATGTTTTCCAGAGATCTTGTTCTGTGTCCTGGAGGCTTGGCTTTTAAGGATATCTTCTCTGGTCTCTGCTGTCCAGAAGGTGCATTCACCAGGGTGGTCAGTTGAATGGACTGAGGTTCTGAGACACAAAGTCACAAGCAGCACTCTTTTTGTCTGGCTGCATCAGCTCTCAGAATTTATCATAAAGGGTCCTGGTCCATAAGGGGCTGTGCTGTCCCAACCTTCATTGCTTTGTTAGTGCTACTAACATCCCATTCCAGTAGCACCTGTCCAGTGTCACAGATTAGCTGGCCTATGACTGGAGGCATCTCACATTCCCATGGGAAACTGGGCACACCATGTTCACTACACCATGCTTACTGCCTGTGATCATGGAGGCCTTTGATTTCTTAGGGTAACTCTGGGAGTGAACTTTTTGGATCTCATTAGGCCTGCATCTTTTACATTTTCTTGTCAGAAACCTCTTACAGCCAAGGTTAAGCCATAAAAGGGCTAAGTGGTTTGAGCTGTTATTGAGATTAATATAAAATCTTCCTTGTCAATGGCCACATGAAGGATCCTTTGAATTGAAAAAGCTTCATTATCTAAAAAAATTTTAGAGAGCTCTTTTCCTAATTGTCTTAGTGGTACCTATAGAAGGACCAAATTCAAAAGTGGATAAAAAGAAGTATAATGGCTAGCCTTAGGGACTGCCTGAACAAGATGAAAGGACCCAAATTAGAGCAAAAATTAGTCTACATCCAATGTATATTCCCCCTTCTGAAAACCTGGTTCCATTTCCTTAGCAAAATTCCTAAACTCCCCAAACTCTTCCACCTTCCCCAGAAAATCCATTAGACATCCAGATGCCTGTTTTAGCTCCCCTTTGCCTGCAACATTTACAGCCAGTGCTCTGGCCTGTTCTCTAGGCCTAGCAGTACAGGTATGTATAGACCTCCTCTTACTTGCCAGGGCTCTATACTCAGGGTCTTCCAGCATCAGGCAACATCATTTGTGGAGGTCCAGGGATCATCCATCACAAAGAATTCATGTCCTCTGGAAAACATCAGACCTTTTAAATTATGAAGCACTTTTACCTCCACTTTCAGAAGATCCCATCAAATTTAGAAAGGAATCAGAAAGATTAGTGGTCATTCACAATTCCATTCACAGGGACCTGGATTGGCCACTGAAAAATGTTCTTGCCACCCACGATTATACTGTAGCTAACAGATGACAAGCCAGAAACCTCTCTCACAGAGGAAACAGATGGCCAGTATTTCTTCCAGGTCCTCCTACAAATGATCAGGAAATATATCAACTGGAGGCTAATGTTTAGGGACTAATAGAAGCAATAATAGAGGCTCTCTATTGTAAGAGAGCCACCTGCTAAGGTGAATTGGTCTAAATTTGAATTGTGCACACGTAAATATGAACATTCAAATGCCTCTGTTGAATGCTTTATACAGATCTTTCAAAGGCATGCTACACCAAGCCTTGAAGCTCTAGAACACAGAACTCTTTTCATTTCTCACTTAGATGGAAATTTTCTCCTTGATATAAAAAAGCAAAAAAAAAAAAAAAAAAGAAAGAAAATTCAAAATATTGTGGTTGGGTGGACTAGTCAAGCTCTAATCATTACAATAGAAGCACCTACCCAATTTTCTGAGGATAGCTACAGAAATGTCAAATAATAGAAAAGAAGGTAAAATCAACTATCTTGATTTAAACTCCAACTTTTGGAGAAACAGAAGCATAATGCTGAGCACAACTCAAAGTCCACTCACAACTCTTCCTATTTGCTTTCAAACACAGGTATCATAACAAATTAGGACATGACAATTGTCTTACATTTTTTTAAAAAAAGAAAGATTTAAATAGTAATTACCCTAGACTTTTGATAATGAATATACCCCAAAACTCATAAGAGAAAACTTACATACTTTACCTTGAAGATTTAAATTTTACCTTGCCTTTAAATATAAATATCCCAGGAGATAAATAAAATACTGTCAACAATGACCTGAAACTGAATTTTTAAAAAAGGATAAAAAGTAGAAAAAGAGACTTTTCTAAAATATAAACTTCTATAAAAGCTCCTTTGGCTAAACTCTGATACACAGTTTCCATAAGATTATGTCAAAGGCAAATACAGTTCTACAAAGTCATCTCCATAAACAGTAGAAAGCTTTAGCCATCTGAGCAAGCAAATTTAACTGATTCCAACTCCCCCCCGCCCCCCCGCCCAAAAAAAAGTTTGGATCCAATTATTCTTTTATAAAGTAGTTAGTTTTGTATTTCTGCACCTTACTCATGGCCAAAATCTTAGAATAAAAGCTATCAAATCTCTGTTTCCTTATATGTTTATATGTATGTTTATATATGTCAGTATATGTATATTGTAGATAGGTGATATATTTCTATCTCTGGATAGTATTGCCAAAATCATTTCTAAAGATCTCCATTTAAATGGTTTAAAATAAGTACCTATATGAATTAAGTATTCTTAAAACTCTCAGAAATAGAATAAAAACTAACCCAAGTGCTTTTCAAGTTCACATGACCTAAGACAATATTCAATAAATAAAAACTACTTTAAGTCTGTTGGTTTAATTAAAAAGGTATGCCTTTAAAGTTACCAGCAATTAAGTATAATAACTTTATTCTACCCAGATTTACTAAAAGTCAAATAATCTCAATGTTATCTGTTATAAAACTTATCAGCAAGAAAAATAACGTAAGATGATGACTAGTTGATTTAATGTCTCAAATTTTTATGCGTAATCTAAGTATGATTGTTAAGAACAAGGGAAGTAAATAAGTGGGATAAAAAAATTTTAAAGATGTATTTATTTATTTGAAAGAGAGAGAGCAGGGGGAGGGGCAGAAGAAGGGAGAGAATCCTGAAACAGACCCCTCACTGAGCACAGGGTCCATCACAGGCCCCAATCCCAGAACTCCAAGATCATGACCTGAGGCAAAACCAAGAATCAGCCGCTTAGCTGACTGAGCCACCCAGGCATCCCAAGTGGTATAAAAATTTTTAAGTAAAATCTTCAGCAATAATTATGTTTTATGATATGTCTACTTAAATAGTTTCCTAAAATTTTTTGGTAACTTACACTCTTAGAGTTTTGCTAAGTCAAAATAATGATTGAAATTTATTGAATATCTCTACCATTCCTTAAGTAAGATATAGAAATGCTAATTACTGAACATAGGTGTTATCTACTTGTAACTTGTTATTACAAAAAATACATACTTTGAGAAAGTGTTTCTAAAGGTCACAATTGCCTAATTGTTAATTTTCACTAGATATTAGGGTTTTTACAATTTAAGAATGCTGTGCTCACTTCAGCACATATGCTAAAATTGGAACTACACAAAGAAGATAGCTTAGCCCCTGTGCAAAGATGATATGCAAATTTGTGAAGCATTCCATATTTTTTATTGGGATTTCAGAAGAGGAAAGAGAGAGGGGGGCAGAAGGTATATTTGAACAAGCTATAACTGAGAACTTCCCTAATCTGGGAAAGAAAACAGGCATTCAAGTCCAGGAAGCACAGAGAACCCCTCATAAAATCAATAAAAATAGATCAATAGCTTGACATATAATAGTGAAGCTTGTAAGTTTCAGAGACAAAGAGAAAAACCTGAAAGCAGCTCAGAACAAAAAGTCTTTAACCTACAGAGGTAGAAACACTAGACTGGCACCAGACCTATCCACAGAGGCCTGGCAGGCCGAAAGGACTAGTATGATATACTCAAGGCACTAAGTGAGAAAAATATGCAGCCAAGAATACTTTACCCAGCTAGGCTGTCATTCAAAATAGAAGGAGAGATAAAGAACTTCCAGGACAAACAGAAACTAAAAGACTTTGTGATCATAAATATTAAAGGGGGTCTTTAAGTGAAGAGAGAACCCAAAAGTAACATAGACCAGAAAGGAACAGAGCCAATATATAGAAACAATGACTTTATACCTTATACAATGGCACTAAATTTATATCTTTCAGTAGTTACTCTGAACGTAAATGGGTTAAGTGTTACAATCAAAAGACACAGTACAGTACCATACTGGATAAAAAAGCAAGACCCATTGAAATACTATCATCAAGAGACTCTTTTTAGACCCAAAGACACCTCCATATTGAAAGTGAGGGGGTGGAAAATCATTTATCATGCTAATGGACATCAAAAGAATGCTGGGGTAGCAATTCTTATATCAGACAAATTAAATTTTAAACTAAAAAAAAAAAACCCAAAAGATAAAAAAATAAATTTTAAACCAAAGACTGTAACAAGAGATGAGGAAGAACATTATATCATAATCAAAAGGTCTATCCAAGAAAAAGGCCTAACAGTTATAAATGATTATGCCCCTAACATGGGAGCAGCCAGTGATATAAATCAATTAATAACAAAATTAAAGAAAGACATCTATAATAATACAATAATAGTACAGAACTTTAACATCCCATTCACTGCAATGGACAGATCATTGAAACAGAATATCAACAAGGAAACCAGGTCTTTGAATGACATACTAGACCAGATGGACTTCACAAATATATACAGATCATTCCATTCTAAAGTAACAGAATACACATTCTTCTCAAGTGCACATGGAACATTCTCCAAAATAGATCACACACTGGATCACAAATCAGATCTCAGCTGCTATCAAAAAATTGGGATTATTCCCTGCATATTTTCAGACCACAGTGCCTTAAAGTTTGAATTTAATTACAAGAGGAAATTTGGAAGGAACAAAAATACATGGAGGTTAAAGAACATCTTACTAAAGAATTAATGGGTCAACCAGGAAATTAAAGAACAACTTAAAAATTAACAGAAACAAATGAAAATGAAAACAAAGTTATTCAAAACCTTTGAGATGCAGCAAAGGTGGTCCTAAGAGAAAAGTATATATCCATACAAGTCTTTCTCAAGAAATAAAAAAGGTTTCAAATACACAACCTAACCTTACACCTAACAAAGCTGGAGAAAGAACAGCAAGTAAAGCCTAAATCTAGCAGGAGATGAGCATTATTAAACCTTAGAGCATAAATCAATGAAATAGAAACCAAAAGAATAGTAGGACAGATAAACAAAACTAGGAGCTGGTTCTTTGAAAGATTTAAAAATATTGATAAACCCCTGGCCAGACTTATCAAAAAGAAAAGAGGAAGGACCAAAAAAAGCAAATCATTTATGAAAGAGGGGAGATAACAACCAAAACTGAAGAAATACTAACCATTTTAAGAACATATTATAAGCAACTATATGTCAACAAATGAGGCATTCTGCAAGAAACGGATGCATTCCTAGACACTACAAAAACTGAAACAGGAAGAAATAGAAAACCTAAACAGACCCATAAGCAGCAAGTAAATTGAAGCAGTAATCAAAAATCTCCCAATGAACAAGAGTCCAGGGCCACCAGGGGAATTCTACTAAACGTTTAAAGAAGAATTAATACCTATTCTTCTGAAATTGTTTCAAAAAATAGAAATGGAAGGAAAACTTCCAAACTCATTCTATGAGGCCAGCATTACCTTGACTCCAAAACTAGACAAAGATCCCACCAAAAAGGAGAATTGCTGACCAATATCTCTAATGAATGTGGATGCAAAAATTCTTACCGAATTACTAGCCAACAACATCCAACAGTACATTAAAAGAATTACTGACCACAACCAAGTGAGATTTACTCTGAGGCTGCAAGGTGATTCAATATCTCCAAATTAATCAATGTGATACACTACATTAATAAAAGAAAGGACAAGAACCATATGATGATCCTCTCAACAGATGCAGAAAAAGCATTTGACAAAGTACAGTATCCTTGCTTGATTAAAACTATGCACATTGTATGGATAGAGGGAACATACTTCAATATCATAAAAGACATCTACAAAAATCCCACAGTGAATATCATTCTCAATGAGGAAAAACTTAGAGCTTTTCCCCTGAGGTCAGGAACATGACAGGAATGTCCACTCTTACCACTGCTGTTCAACACAGTACTAGAAGTCCTAGCCTCAGCAATCAGACAACAAAAAGAAATAAAAGGCATTCAAACTGGCAAAGAAGGGGATCCCTGCCTTTGGCCCAGGGCGCAATCCTGGAGTCCCATGATGGAGTCCCACGTTGGGCTCCCAGCATGGAGGCTGCTTCTCCCTCCTCCTGTGTCTCTGCCTCTCTTTCTCTCTCTCTCTCTGTCATAAATAAATAAATCTTAAAAAAAAATTGGCAAAGAAGAAATCAAACTCTCATTCTTTATACATGGCACGATATTCTATGTGGAAAATACAGAAGACTCCACCCCAAAATTGCTAGAATTCATACATAAACTCAACAAAGTGACAGGATATAAAATCAATGCACAGAAATCAGTTGCAGTTCTATACAGTAAAAATGTGACAGAAAAAAGAGAAATTAAGGAGTCAATTCCATTTACAATTGCACCAAAAACCTTAAGATACCTACGAGCATTCCTAACCAAAGAAGCAAAAGATCTGTGCCAAGAAATATAGAACACTTCTGAAAGAAATTGAGGAAGACACAAAGAAATAGAAAAACATTCCATGTTCATGGAATGGAAAAATAAATATTGTTAAAATGTCTGTGCTACCTAGAGAAATTTACATATTCAATGCAATCCCTATCAAAGTACTATCAACTTTTTTCACAGAGCTGGAAGAAATAATCCTAAAATCCGTATGGAACCAGAAAAGACTCTGAATAGCTAAAGGAATATTGAAAAAGAAAACCAAAGCAGGTGGCATCAAAATTCTGGACTTCAAGCCTATACAAAGCTGTAATAATCAAAAACAGTATGGTACTGGCACAAAAACAAACACATAGATCAATGGAACAGAAAAGAGAACCCAGAAATGGGCCTTAACTCTATGTCAACTAATTTCAACAAAGCAAGAAAGAATATCCAATGGAAAAAAGTCTCTTCAACAAATGGTGTTGGGAAAATTGGACAGTCACATGCAGAAGAATGAAATTGGACCATTTTTCTTACACTATGTACAAAAATAGGCTCAATAACCAAAATGCCTTATCAATTACATTACAATAAACTATCATAAGACCTTTAATCATTGCCATTTTTAAGACATTTTAAAATGTATTTACAGAGAGCTACAAAGACAAAATTGAGGGAGAAGAGAATACATGACTCCAAAACATGCCACTGTGACATGTGGATTATTTCAAGTTAAAGATAATCAAGGCTCAACAGATGTATTGCTTAAAAGAAATTAGATCAAGGGCCCATACCAGGACCCTGGTATCTTTAGTTATACTAAAGATAACTTTTTATCAGAAAGACTCATCTGCAAGTTATCACAAATATTCTTGCTTACCAAAAATTTGTTCTTATCTTTTTGTGAGTTGTCTTCCTTCCCCTTGAAGCTCTACCCTCTTGTCTTTAGCTCTGGATGTCACATAAGCCTTATTTTCCTATCTTTGGGGCTTTCTTATGTATGCTTTTTTTCTCCTACTAATCTTATAACAAATTATTAGGCTAGCCGAAGAGCCTAGAAAGGCAGAAGGAAAAAATTTTCCTACCCTGTACATTTCACATCAGGTTCTTCATCTTCAAGAACTCTGACAATCTCTGCATTCGGCCAAAATTGGGCTCTTTCTCCCTGATTTTCTCTGGTTCTTGTCAGATAGTCTCTAAATGACCTCATTTGCTTTTGAAAGCCCTTACAAATACTTTGTATCTCTTTCCAGATTTGATCAAAGAATAGAGTTTATATCTTTGTTTTACTATTTTCTTGATGTTTTTGGATAGGTTTCAGAATGAGAAAATAGGATACTGAGTTAAGAGGTTATTTTCCTATCAAATTATCACTTTATTTTTCATTCTTTCTAAATATTTTGTAGTGTTTAAATAATTTCAGGTTATTTTTAAACTTGAAAATAATCAGAATTTTGTTTCAGGAAAAAGCTAGGAATATCTAGGAAATATTCCTAGGAAATATCTAGGAAATATATATCCTAGATATCTAGGAAATATCTAGGAAAGAGACTAAAATCATGAGAATGAAACTCCATTTTTAAAGAGAACATATCTAATAAAATACCTCTTAACTCTCCTCAAGTTTGAGTATCTTAATTCACATAGAATGGGTACCATCAATTTAAATTGAACATCAAGAGCACACAGCAAGGGAGAGGGACAGTCCTTACTTCATAAGAAAATTAGTCTGGTTGACTGAATACAATCCTCAACTTTTAATAATAATATTAAGCTTTTTCATACACAGCCCACATGTTCCTTCACCCCCAAGAAAACTGTTGCCTCCCAGGCACTGATCGTTTTCTTCGACCAGCAATGTAATCACCTACATTCTCCATTCTCTAGGCCAACCCTCAAGTAACAGAAGATCTGAAATCCAATCTCTGATCATGGAATATGAACTATGC